AACATGGCGTCGCCCCTGGATGCCACAACACATACAAAACCATAGTCGCTGCTTCACGGCATTGGCGCAACAGCGTACGACACGAACATCGAGAAAGTTAACAACGAAGATTGGTAGTCGAAAAACGTATGACTTATATGTAGAGAGATAAAAAAAAGATAAATGTATCTAGACAATAAGGGGAACCACTTTCAATAGTTCGGGGGTATAAAATGAGATGAAAATTATTTTAGGGGTTTAAGTGCTTCGCCAAAATAGTTTAAGTGAGTAAAATGGATTTTTTATATATATTTGCCAATTTAACTATTTTACTGTAGATTGTATTATGCACTAAAGAAACAAAAAGAAAATCGAATTTTATGTATGGCAAAATCAAAAACGGTCAAAATGGTACTACTTACACACGGATTTTCATAAATATTGTTGTTCCTACTTAAAATACTTGATATATCTGATTATTCAATATTAGACTGATGATTAATGTGCTAGAAACAAGAATAGAAATGAGGTTTGGGGGTGTGGGGCGACTCGGACCGTAGTTGGACCGGCCGACCCACTCTGCCCAATGAGTGTGTCCGCCACTGAGTAGCACTCTGACGGAGCGTGGGGCTCCTCACCGGGAGACCGCGCAGGCCCCCCTTTGCCGGTTCGGCCGGGGGCCCTGGGTGAGATTCTAAGCTCCTAGTCTTTGTGTGGAAGGTTCGCGAGAATGGAAACACACAAGACACTGGCGATGTATACAGGTTCGGGCCGCTGAGAAGCGTAATACCCTACTTCCTGTGTTTTAGTGGATCTATGTATGAAGAAGCTACAAAAGAGCTGGAGAACCAGAGAGCTCTTACTTTCTCCCTCTCTGATCTTTCTAGATCCGAAAATCCCCCTCTTCTAAGTGGGCAAGGTCCTCCTTTTATACCTCAAGGGGATACCACATGCACCATCTCTCTCTTTTTTGTGGGGACTTATCCTATCTTTTCATAAACAGACGGAGACTTGTATGGTTGTCGTCCGAATGACCTTCTGATGGGACAGCCCATACCTACCTCCACTTCCGCCGGAAGCAGGCGCGACGTGGGAAAATGGCTATCTGCTGACGACATGACCAGTGTCAGACCGGTCATAAATCGGTCATTCTTGTCCACCACGCGTCAGTCTATAAATCTGCATGTTCGCCCTTCTTCATACAATATCTTGCCTGTAATGGTTAGGATGAAGCCTGGCATATATCTGACCGGAACCAACGTGCCATCTCCAGGAGCTAACACGCCGGCTCCGGCTAGGGACGAGTGCTTGGAGGCTCTCGTCCTGACGGGATGGGGCGAGGCGTGCGTCAGACCGCCTGTCGCCACCTAACCCACGATCTGATCGGTCTGTGACTGGTCACTGACCGGATAAACGAGCGCGCTGCACTGCGTTACATGCGGCGTGACGCGCTCGTCCAAACCGCAATAAATGTGGTTAGGTGAGCCCCGCTATGCTCACCTACCCCATATACGCGGCGCAAAACCCACAAGGGGTCGGGGCGCCTCGGCCCTCGGGGCCGAGACGGGAGCGGTCCAACCCCTCGAGAAGGCGGCAGCACGCTACCATCAAGCAAAGCGGAGCCCCGTGCCATGACGCCGGAGGAAGAGATGTTTAAGAGCGAGCGCGTGTGGCGAAGGTAGGGCACAGGAAACAAGGAGTTAGGGCGCAAGCGGCGAAGACAAGGGGAATAATGGCGAGAGGAAGGAAGCAAATCTCTTCCTCGGCGACTTTATACCCTTGCCAACGCTGTGCCCGGCTCCTCGTTTCTCGCGCCCACTATCTTGCCCCCTCGTTTCTCGCGCCCACGCTTCCACTAATCCCATTCGCCCGTTTGCGGTGCATGAGGTGGACATGCGGCTGTGGCAGTCAAGATGGAACATCTCGTGCGCGCGTTAATTACGCTCGCCGACCGAAGCGCCATCACCATATCTCCAGGAAAAACGAACCGGATTGTCCCGATTTTTAGACCGGCCCCACCATGTCACCAGGCCTTAGGAAGTGGCGTCACACCCGACCGCTTCCCTCGAGGAGGGCGATCGCCTTGGCATAACGCCGGGGGCTACTGTCGGTGCGCCGCTTCATGCCGGAATCTGCCACCGGCCGGGAGATAGTTACGCTGGGCGAGGGACGCCCAGCGCCATGCTACCCGGGGCGGTCCGTCTTCTTCCTCCCTTTTGCAATGGCAGGGCTGGTTCCGCCATTTTCTTCTTTCTTCATGGATGTTCTGGAGTTTTACGATCTCCAGATGGCGCACCTCACCCCCAACGCGGTAATGACATTGGCCATCTTCGCGCACCTGTGCGAAATGTTCATCGGGGTGCGCCCATCCCTTCGGCTGTTCCGGTGGTTCTTCACCGTACAGTCGGTGTCGCCGCCGTCGGTGGTTGGTGGCTGCTACTTCCAACCGCGGGGGCCGGTGTTGAACCGCTACATTCCCTGCGTCCTCCGCAAGAAGTGGGATGACTGGAAGAGCGACTGGTTCTACACCCCCCTCGCCGACGAAGCGCGCCTCCGACTTCCGAGCCAGCCCCCGGGGCAGGCCTCCAGCTGGCGGGCGCCGGTAGATCTGGGAGATGGCTATGACGCCGTCCTCGACCGCCTGGCGGGCCTGCGATCCCTGGGGCTCACAGGGGCCATGGTGTACGGCGACTATCTTCGTCGCCGGATCGCGCCACTCCAGCGGCGCGCCCGGGGTGCCTGGGAGTACACCGGGTCCGAGGACTGTATGAGGACTCACCAGGGAGTCAGATGGGACTGGGCTCCTGAGGACTTCAAGATAGTGGTCCAACGGGTGCTGAATCTCAGCTCCGTGGACGCATCCCTCATTCCTCAAGGAGTCCTCCCCCTCTGCAGCGATCCAGACCGCGCCTCCATCCTGACCATCATGCAGGCGGTCGGGGCGTCGGAGGAGCGGGCTCCTCGAGGCCACGATGGCGCGGGCGGGAGCCGCAGGGGGGAACAATCTACCCCGGGAGGGGGTCGTGCTTCTGGGCCCCGCGACGGGGGCCCGGGGAGCGGCCGCCCTGCCGACGTCCGGGGGAAGAGGAAGCAGGAAGGAACCCCTCCCCCATCTCCTCCCCGAGGGGGCGGGGCGGCGCGTGCCAGCAGCAGGCGCCCGGAGGGGGCCACGCCGACGTCGCAGCCCGAGGGGGAGCGGAAGAAGAAACGACCCCGCAAGATGGGGGGGACAGAACCATCTCGGGGAAAACCTTATTTCCCCTCCAAGGTGGTCGTTTAACCGACCCCCTCGCAGGTTCGTCCCACGCCCATCGTGGCCGTATTCATTTGTAACGCCCCGATTTTCGTTCGGGTTTAAAAATCAATTAATAATACATTTTCTAGAAATTAAATAAAAGTTAAATCAATTTATCCAAGTGAAATGTTGGGAGAATTAAAATTTTCCCTTAAAAATCATTGGCCGGGAATATTTTGTAATATTCTTTGTGCCCTAATGTACTCTCCGGAATTTTCCGTGAATTTTCGGAGCTCGAGAAATAGTTTTAATAGCACAAAGGTCATTGCATCAATTTAAATAAAAAGAAAACAAAATAAACTTCCCCTTCCTCCCTTTCGGGCTCGGCCCAAAATCCTCTCTCCTTCCCCTCCCGCGGCCCGGCTTGCCTCCCCTTTTTGGCGCAAGTCTGCTTTTCCTCCCTCCCGGCCTCCCCTCTCACTCAGGCCGACAGGTGGGACCCGTGGACCCCACCTGTCATCCCCAACCTCCGGCCAGCTCCAACCGCCGCCCACGCCGCCCACTCCCTCCGCCGATCCCGCACCTCCCCTCGTCCCAACCGGCGTGGACCCGAGACCCCTTCCACCTCGCGACCACATCCCGCCCCACTCCCCCTCTCTCCCCGCGGGAATCAACGCCACGCCGAGCCGCCACACCCCCACGACGCCGCCCCACTTCCCCTCGAAATCCGCCGCTCCCCGGCCCTCTCCTCGCCCCCTTGAGCTATAAAATCAATCCCCGTGGACTCCTCTTCCTTTTTCCCCGTTTTCCCGAGTCCCCCACGCCCTCTACCGAGCTCTCCACGCCGATCCCCTTCGCCGCCGCTCGCCGGCGATCTCCAGCCGCCCGCCACCGCCGCTCCCGTCGCTGCCGCGCTGCGCCGCCACCACCTATAGCATCACACCACCCCACCGCACCCCGGCATCCACTCCATCTCCCTCCTCCACCGCCGGAACCACCTTCCCATCGCGAGGCCGAGCCACTACCGCCACACACCGCCTTCAGCCGGCCGCTGCCGCTGCGTTAGTCGTCGCCGCACCTCGCCGCTTGCGCCGTCGGCAACGCCGTGCCAAGCTCTACCCCGGCCTCCGCTCCGTTTCCCCATTCCACCACCGCAACCACCCTTCCACCGTGCATCCCGAGCCACCTCCACCATACGCCGCCTCCAGCCGTGTGCCACCGTCGCCTTAGCCGCCGCCGCGTCGCTCCGTCTTCACCTCTCGCCTCGCAGCGCCGTGCAGCACCTCGGTCACCGTTGTTCATCGCCGGAAACCCACCGGAACGTGGTACCTCTCGGTCGCCGGTGAGCCCCACCATTCCTCTCCTCTCTGGCGTGGTATTCTCGCCGCTCCGGTCGCCTATTTCCCTCCCTAACCGCTCCAATAATTTCCCTAGGTCTTGCCGGCCCTCGGCCGCGGCTCCGCCATGGTCGGGCGTCGTCGGACCGCCGTTCCCGTCGCCTCCCGTGTCGGCCGCCGCCATCCTTTCCGCCGCCGGTCGCCTCCCCATGGTCGTCCCGTCGCCGGCGCTCCTCGGTGAGGACCCCCTTCATCTCCTTTCCCTTTCCCCTCTTTTCGTCGCCTCCCGTGCGTGCCGTCGCGCCGGTGGTCGTCGCCGGCGACCATCGGGCCGTGCGCCGTCGCTCCCGGCCGGCCGACCGGTGAGCTGGCTCCCGCTCGCCCGTGGCCGCCCGATCCTCCTTCGGGGCGATCTGGGCCGTCCACGTGGCCTTCCCGTGCCGCCCGCGTCGGTGCCTCTGTGGCGCCACGTCGGCGCCACCTCCGCTAGCCGTCCGTCGTGGCCGCCACGTGTCTGCCACGTGGTGCGCCCGCGGACCAGCGCATGCGTGGACTCGGTCCACGGTGCGCCCGCCACCCGTGAGTCACCGTCAGGTACCGCCACACACCGCCTTCAGCCGGCCGCTGCCGCTGCGTTAGTCGTCGCCGCACCTCGCCGCTTGCGCCGTCGGCAACGCCGTGCCAAGCTCTACCCCGGCCTCCGCTCCGTTTCCCCATTCCACCACCGCAACCACCCTTCCACCGTGCATCCCGAGCCACCTCCACCATACGCCGCCTCCAGCCGTGTGCCACCGTCGCCTTAGCCGCCGCCGCGTCGCTCCGTCTTCACCTCTCGCCTCGCAGCGCCGTGCAGCACCTCGGTCACCGTTGTTCATCGCCGGAAACCCACCGGAACGTGGTACCTCTCGGTCGCCGGTGAGCCCCACCATTCCTCTCCTCTCTGGCGTGGTATTCTCGCCGCTCCGGTCGCCTATTTCCCTCCCTAACCGCTCCAATAATTTCCCTAGGTCTTGCCGGCCCTCGGCCGCGGCTCCGCCATGGTCGGGCGTCGTCGGACCGCCGTTCCCGTCGCCTCCCGTGTCGGCCGCCGCCATCCTTTCCGCCGCCGGTCGCCTCCCCATGGTCGTCCCGTCGCCGGCGCTCCTCGGTGAGGACCCCCTTCATCTCCTTTCCCTTTCCCCTCTTTTCGTCGCCTCCCGTGCGTGCCGTCGCGCCGGTGGTCGTCGCCGGCGACCATCGGGCCGTGCGCCGTCGCTCCCGGCCGGCCGACCGGTGAGCTGGCTCCCGCTCGCCCGTGGCCGCCCGATCCTCCTTCGGGGCGATCTGGGCCGTCCACGTGGCCTTCCCGTGCCGCCCGCGTCGGTGCCTCTGTGGCGCCACGTCGGCGCCACCTCCGCTAGCCGTCCGTCGTGGCCGCCACGTGTCTGCCACGTGGTGCGCCCGCGGACCAGCGCATGCGTGGACTCGGTCCACGGTGCGCCCGCCACCCGTGAGTCACCGTCAGGTGGGGCCCGCTTGCCGGCGCCACCTCTCCCCCGTCGGATGACGTCATAATTGATTTAAATTGCGCAATAAATCGGTAATAATTCTAGAAATTCATTAAAATGGCTCAAAACCTTCTAAAATTCATATCTAATTCATTCGAACTCCGAATTGAGCCATTCAACTTGCAAAATTCATCTAAAATTGAGCTCTACATGTTTGTTTACTTTTTATGTACTGTTTTCTTGGTGTTTATTAGAGTTTTTCCTCGTTTTGCGTGCCAGCGTGTAGTTTCCGTCGTTTCGGAAGTCCGCGGTCGCGAGGAAAAGAGTTCAGAAGATCAAAGTGAAGAAGCAAGGCAAGTCACACATTCTCCTTGAGCATGTTGATCCCAATTTATAAATGTTTTACCGTTTACAAATAAATATGCATGTTTTGCTAATTACATGGGATCAGGGTTTTCCTATCTGCTCGCTTGCGCCATGTTTACTTGATATCTGTTCTTTGTCAACCTTGGGTAATAAATTGACTAGCTTGTGTTACTTATGTGACCTAGCTAGAACTATATGCTTAGCCATGCTTAATTACCACTAGCTCAGTCGATGGGATAATTGCAGTATTAGACATTCTAGTATCTTGTTGAGCTGCGTGCTCGAGACATCTGGCCATGTTTTATGGTCGTAATTATCCAACTAAAATGCGACTGAATGGTGGGCTGTGGATGCATGGTTTTGCGAGTCGCACCCATAGCAATTAAGGACCGGTTCACGGGAAACCCTGGAAGACTTACAGCGCTTGCCACAAGCGGGAATGGGTAACTGCTTGATCTGAAGTATAGCTCGACCCTTTCCTAGGCACCGGTGGCGAGGGTGGGCGTGATGGAGTTGGGTCGGCCGGGGTGTCCGGTTGTCCAGCTGCCGGATTCACCGCGGCGCAAGAGGGGACCGCCCACTGCCTTTTGAGGGGTGGGGGTGAAACCTTAGCGTGGTGTGGATGGTTAGGGGAGGGTTATGCGAAGGGTCTCGTCACAATCACTCGACATGGTGACGTGTGCATCATGGGCACATGATGACGCGGTGACATGTCGGTGGGTTGTGTCTTGTGGGTACAGTTGTGCACCTCTGGCCAGAGTAAAACTATTCGAATAGCCGTGCCCGCGGTTATGGGCGATCGACCAGATTCACCGTGATTAGTCTCACACCTAATAAATCGACCCAATGCACTGTAGTACAGGTGGGTTGGTTGGGCCTGTTCAACGTGGTGTAGCGTTGATCAGTGGAGATTTAATATTACTTTAATTACTCAACAGTTTTACTGTTTTGCTCAATAAAATGTTTTACAACCGCCTTTATGCAAATAGCCACAAACCGTCCTTGTGTTCCCCCTTGCACGTCTGCATCGTTGGTGTGGCTTGCTGAGTACGGTGGTTGTACTCAGCCTTGCTATTATTCCCCCTTTTCAGAAGTGTAGTGCTTCTGAGCTGAAGATGGAGTTAGAGGACCAAGGCTCAGACCCCAGTTGAGTTTTGCCTGTGGAGTGGAGCTGAAGCCCCGCTAGGATCGCCTTTTTCCGCTGCTGCTGCTTTTGTTTCGGTGTGAGGACTAAGTGCCTCTTCTGTAAGTATTTTACGCTTTATTTACGTTTGGAACTGTTTATTACTTGTCGTTTTGTGTACCCTGGCTGGTCCTGGACAGGGATTTAATACACAAAATAGTCTGGAAATTTGGGCTAAATTTCTGGGCGTGACAAAGTGGTATCAGAGCCAACTTGACTGTAGGTTGAGCCAAATGGTCAAACCGTAAGGACAAGTTTTCTGAAAACCCTACTTGCAAATTGTCTCCTCTCGCCCTTCGGCATTTCTTTGTGAAACGGTTTTTCAAAATTCTCCTCCCAATCTCTCCAATTCTTTTAGTTGTCAAACCTAGAGGACCAGCTGTCAGCTTCATGTCTGTTCGGAAGTCAAGTCAATTCGAGCCTCAAGCTTCGTGCAAGGAGCGAGAAGATCAGTTCAGAGTCGTCGTTCTGCGAAGATCAAGTGGAGTTTTCCCGAAGTTGACCTAAACCCAATCTTTCCCAGAAGAGTAGTTCCGTTAGCTTTCTAGATCGTGTGTTGTTTGCTTGTGTGTAGGGGTATGGTTTGCATCATTGGTGGGGATGCGACCATACTAGGTTGTTTGCTTAAGCAACTTGAACAATAAAAGTCTACTCACAACATAACAGTAGGCAAGTGGTTTAGTACCTTATCTTTAGCAACCCCTCTCTTCCACCTCTCTTCCGTCCTGGCAGCGGATGGTCAGTGTCAGAGATAAGATCAATTAAAGTCACCAATCAATGGTTCAGTTGAAAGCTACAAGGTATCCCAGTGCCAGAAGAACCCTGCTCGTGATCAACATTTGGTGTCCAAGATTAGATGATGGATGTATTGATGCGGGAGATGCAAAGCTCGATGCAAGGTCAAGTGTAGCGGAAAGAACTCCAGCAGTAGTGTGTTGCAGTCAAGAGTCAGTGTGTCCATGAGCTAAATGAGAGTCACTTTTATGTGGAATTTCCTATCATCAACTAAGGGTTAAGTTCCAAATCTTGTCGGGGTGAAAGTGCATCGCCATTGCTTCAATTTGATGGACCGATGAAGTTTTCAGTTTTCAAAGTCAGGGCTCTTTGTAAATCAGAGAAGTGTTGGCTATATTTGAAGGACAACAGTTCAACTGATCCCAGCCACGCGGAAGTAAGACTACTCCCTGTAAGGGGGGTAGGTCTCGGAGAAGAGTTTTGCCTCACTTCGTCGCTGTTTTAGTTGAAGGTTCAACCAGTGCCGCAATCAGGGTAGCACTTGAAGAAGCAAGTTGCAAGGTATCAGAAGAATTAAGCCGATCCCCGGGCAACCGATTGAATTCTAAGGTACACCCATGAGGCCAGTTCAACCGCTTAGCTTAGACAGGTCAAGCAGGTTTCCTGGATTTACTTGTCATTTGAGTTGGGACCAGTCCAAGCGGACATAGGGTAAATGATTTACAAATGCCAGATTCAATTTTCATCCTCTTATAGCCAGCGTGGTGAATTCTCAGGTTACCAAAATTGCCAACCTCAACAGTTCAGTCCAAGATAAGTAAGTTTCAGGAGTATCCGCAGTTCTGGCCTAGGTCAGTTCAAGCAGAACCAGTCGGTCCAGTTTTGGCAAAGCAAAGGAACAGAAAGGTCGAATCCAGCCAGTGCAATCGTGCAGGTTTGATCAACCAGTCAATCAATCAGTTCGAAGCAGAATGTGGCAGTTCAATGTGCAGATCAGTCAGACCGCCCACCAGCACCGGCTTTCTTTCTAGCCATCCCAGAATCTCGGGACGAGATTCCTGTAAGGGGGGTAGATTTGTAACGCCCCGATTTTCGTTCGGGTTTAAAAATCAATTAATAATACATTTTCTAGAAATTAAATAAAAGTTAAATCAATTTATCCAAGTGAAATGTTGGGAGAATTAAAATTTTCCCTTAAAAATCATTGGCCGGGAATATTTTGTAATATTCTTTGTGCCCTAATGTACTCTCCGGAATTTTCCGTGAATTTTCGGAGCTCGAGAAATAGTTTTAATAGCACAAAGGTCATTGCATCAATTTAAATAAAAAGAAAACAAAATAAACTTCCCCTTCCTCCCTTTCGGGCTCGGCCCAAAATCCTCTCTCCTTCCCCTCCCGCGGCCCGGCTTGCCTCCCCTTTTTGGCGCAAGTCTGCTTTTCCTCCCTCCCGGCCTCCCCTCTCACTCAGGCCGACAGGTGGGACCCGTGGACCCCACCTGTCATCCCCAACCTCCGGCCAGCTCCAACCGCCGCCCACGCCGCCCACTCCCTCCGCCGATCCCGCACCTCCCCTCGTCCCAACCGGCGTGGACCCGAGACCCCTTCCACCTCGCGACCACATCCCGCCCCACTCCCCCTCTCTCCCCGCGGGAATCAACGCCACGCCGAGCCGCCACACCCCCACGACGCCGCCCCACTTCCCCTCGAAATCCGCCGCTCCCCGGCCCTCTCCTCGCCCCCTTGAGCTATAAAATCAATCCCCGTGGACTCCTCTTCCTTTTTCCCCGTTTTCCCGAGTCCCCCACGCCCTCTACCGAGCTCTCCACGCCGATCCCCTTCGCCGCCGCTCGCCGGCGATCTCCAGCCGCCCGCCACCGCCGCTCCCGTCGCTGCCGCGCTGCGCCGCCACCACCTATAGCATCACACCACCCCACCGCACCCCGGCATCCACTCCATCTCCCTCCTCCACCGCCGGAACCACCTTCCCATCGCGAGGCCGAGCCACTACCGCCACACACCGCCTTCAGCCGGCCGCTGCCGCTGCGTTAGTCGTCGCCGCACCTCGCCGCTTGCGCCGTCGGCAACGCCGTGCCAAGCTCTACCCCGGCCTCCGCTCCGTTTCCCCATTCCACCACCGCAACCACCCTTCCACCGTGCATCCCGAGCCACCTCCACCATACGCCGCCTCCAGCCGTGTGCCACCGTCGCCTTAGCCGCCGCCGCGTCGCTCCGTCTTCACCTCTCGCCTCGCAGCGCCGTGCAGCACCTCGGTCACCGTTGTTCATCGCCGGAAACCCACCGGAACGTGGTACCTCTCGGTCGCCGGTGAGCCCCACCATTCCTCTCCTCTCTGGCGTGGTATTCTCGCCGCTCCGGTCGCCTATTTCCCTCCCTAACCGCTCCAATAATTTCCCTAGGTCTTGCCGGCCCTCGGCCGCGGCTCCGCCATGGTCGGGCGTCGTCGGACCGCCGTTCCCGTCGCCTCCCGTGTCGGCCGCCGCCATCCTTTCCGCCGCCGGTCGCCTCCCCATGGTCGTCCCGTCGCCGGCGCTCCTCGGTGAGGACCCCCTTCATCTCCTTTCCCTTTCCCCTCTTTTCGTCGCCTCCCGTGCGTGCCGTCGCGCCGGTGGTCGTCGCCGGCGACCATCGGGCCGTGCGCCGTCGCTCCCGGCCGGCCGACCGGTGAGCTGGCTCCCGCTCGCCCGTGGCCGCCCGATCCTCCTTCGGGGCGATCTGGGCCGTCCACGTGGCCTTCCCGTGCCGCCCGCGTCGGTGCCTCTGTGGCGCCACGTCGGCGCCACCTCCGCTAGCCGTCCGTCGTGGCCGCCACGTGTCTGCCACGTGGTGCGCCCGCGGACCAGCGCATGCGTGGACTCGGTCCACGGTGCGCCCGCCACCCGTGAGTCACCGTCAGGTGGGGCCCGCTTGCCGGCGCCACCTCTCCCCCGTCGGATGACGTCATAATTGATTTAAATTGCGCAATAAATCGGTAATAATTCTAGAAATTCATTAAAATGGCTCAAAACCTTCTAAAATTCATATCTAATTCATTCGAACTCCGAATTGAGCCATTCAACTTGCAAAATTCATCTAAAATTGAGCTCTACATGTTTGTTTACTTTTTATGTACTGTTTTCTTGGTGTTTATTAGAGTTTTTCCTCGTTTTGCGTGCCAGCGTGTAGTTTCCGTCGTTTCGGAAGTCCGCGGTCGCGAGGAAAAGAGTTCAGAAGATCAAAGTGAAGAAGCAAGGCAAGTCACACATTCTCCTTGAGCATGTTGATCCCAATTTATAAATGTTTTACCGTTTACAAATAAATATGCATGTTTTGCTAATTACATGGGATCAGGGTTTTCCTATCTGCTCGCTTGCGCCATGTTTACTTGATATCTGTTCTTTGTCAACCTTGGGTAATAAATTGACTAGCTTGTGTTACTTATGTGACCTAGCTAGAACTATATGCTTAGCCATGCTTAATTACCACTAGCTCAGTCGATGGGATAATTGCAGTATTAGACATTCTAGTATCTTGTTGAGCTGCGTGCTCGAGACATCTGGCCATGTTTTATGGTCGTAATTATCCAACTAAAATGCGACTGAATGGTGGGCTGTGGATGCATGGTTTTGCGAGTCGCACCCATAGCAATTAAGGACCGGTTCACGGGAAACCCTGGAAGACTTACAGCGCTTGCCACAAGCGGGAATGGGTAACTGCTTGATCTGAAGTATAGCTCGACCCTTTCCTAGGCACCGGTGGCGAGGGTGGGCGTGATGGAGTTGGGTCGGCCGGGGTGTCCGGTTGTCCAGCTGCCGGATTCACCGCGGCGCAAGAGGGGACCGCCCACTGCCTTTTGAGGGGTGGGGGTGAAACCTTAGCGTGGTGTGGATGGTTAGGGGAGGGTTATGCGAAGGGTCTCGTCACAATCACTCGACATGGTGACGTGTGCATCATGGGCACATGATGACGCGGTGACATGTCGGTGGGTTGTGTCTTGTGGGTACAGTTGTGCACCTCTGGCCAGAGTAAAACTATTCGAATAGCCGTGCCCGCGGTTATGGGCGATCGACCAGATTCACCGTGATTAGTCTCACACCTAATAAATCGACCCAATGCACTGTAGTACAGGTGGGTTGGTTGGGCCTGTTCAACGTGGTGTAGCGTTGATCAGTGGAGATTTAATATTACTTTAATTACTCAACAGTTTTACTGTTTTGCTCAATAAAATGTTTTACAACCGCCTTTATGCAAATAGCCACAAACCGTCCTTGTGTTCCCCCTTGCACGTCTGCATCGTTGGTGTGGCTTGCTGAGTACGGTGGTTGTACTCAGCCTTGCTATTATTCCCCCTTTTCAGAAGTGTAGTGCTTCTGAGCTGAAGATGGAGTTAGAGGACCAAGGCTCAGACCCCAGTTGAGTTTTGCCTGTGGAGTGGAGCTGAAGCCCCGCTAGGATCGCCTTTTTCCGCTGCTGCTGCTTTTGTTTCGGTGTGAGGACTAAGTGCCTCTTCTGTAAGTATTTTACGCTTTATTTACGTTTGGAACTGTTTATTACTTGTCGTTTTGTGTACCCTGGCTGGTCCTGGACAGGGATTTAATACACAAAATAGTCTGGAAATTTGGGCTAAATTTCTGGGCGTGACATCATTCCCTCAACGCGAGTTTTCACTCATCCATCTTGTTTGTCTTCTGGTCTTTCTTCTGTTTCAGCGAGATCCCGTCGCGTCCCTCCCGCCATCCCAAGTCCGGCCAGTCTGAGGCCGAGGACCCGGCGACCACAGAGGCTCGGAGGCGGGAATCTGACCGGCGAGAAGCCGCGGATCGCCTACGGGAAGCCGAGGAGGCCGCCCAGGTGGCCGTCCGAGCTCGCCAAGCTGAAGAAGCCGCTCGGGAGGAGGCCAGACTTTGCCAGGCCGAGGCGACGACATCCTCCGAGGCGACCCGTGAAACTGACCGGCAAGAGGCCGCGGATCGCCTTCGAGAAGCCGAGGAAGCTGCTCAGGTGGCCGTCCGAGCTGGCCAAGCTGAAGAAGCCGCTCGGGAGGAGGCCAGACTTCGCCAGGCCGAGGCAACGACGACTTCCGAAGCAGCTCACGACGAGGCCGCGGGCGCATCGCTTGGGCCCACTCCCTCGTGCGACGCTCAGGACAAACCAGGTCCGGGGGACATCCCCGAGTCCGGCACGTCCATCGGCGGGCCAAGCCGCGCGGCATCCTCTTCGAGGCGGCTCTTCCCCACGCCTTCCGTTGCTCCACTGAGCGCAGAACCTCTTCTGCAGGCCTTGGCCGTCGCTAACACCACGGTGTTGGACGGGTTAAGTGCCCAGATGGAGGCCTTGCAAGCAGAGCGGGTGGAGCTCGACGCCGCATGGGCACGTGTCGAAGAGGGGCGCCGCTCGGTGGAGGCCATGGTGGAGGTGGGTCGCAAGGCACACCGCCGGCACGTCTCAGAGCTCGAAGCCCGTCGGAAGGTGCTGGGGGAGATCGCCAAGGAGGTGGAGGAGGAGCGGGGGGCTGCCCTCATCGCCACCACCGTGATGAACGAGGCGCAGGACACCCTCCGCCTTCAATACGGGAGCTGGGAGGCGGAGCTAGGGAAAAAGCTCGACGCCGCCCGGGGGGTCCTTGACGCTGCCGCTGCCCGAGAACGGCGGGCGGCGGAGACCGAGGTGGCATCCCGGCGGCGCGAAGAAGCCCTTGAGGCCCGTGCCATGGCGCTAGAAGAGCGTGCCTGCGCCGTGGAGAGGGACCTGGCGGATCGCGAGGCCGCCGTTGCTATTCGGGAGGTCACACTGGCGGTGCACGAAGCCGCCTGTGCCGAAGAAGAGTCCGCGCTCCGCCTCCGCGAGGACGCGCTCACCGAGCGGGAGCGAGCTCTCGAGGAGGCCGAGGCCGCGGCGCAACGGCTGGCGGACAACCTGTCCCTCCGCGAGGCTGCGCAAGAGGAACAAGCGCGCCGTAATCTGGAAGGTGCCCGCGCCGAGAGGGCCGCGCTGAACCAGCGGGCCGCTGAGCTCGAGGCGCGGGAGAAGGAGCTGGACGCGAGGGCGCGCAGCGGCGGGGCGGCCGCGGGCGAAAGCGACTTAACCGCCCGCCTCGCAGCTGCCGAACACACCATCGCCGATTTGCAGGGCGCGCTAGACTCGTCCGCCGGGGAGGTTGAGGCCCTCCGCTTGGCAGGCGAGGTCGGGCCCGGCATGCTTCGGGACGCCGTCTCCCGTCTAGACCGTGCCGGCCGGCAGGCGGGCCTCTGGGCGGGCGGACTGCGAAGTACGCCGCCAACCAGGGGGGCCTCGCCCAGTGCCTCTCGGAGATAGCCGGGACTCTCCAACGGCTCCCCGAGGAGCTCGAGAGGACGATTAAGTCATCCTCGAGGGACCTCGCCCGAGGAGCGGTGGAGCTCGTACTGGCGAGTTACCAAGCCAGGGATCCCGACTTCTCCCCATGGACGGCGCTGGACGAGTTCCCTCCCGGGACCGAGGATGGCGCGCGCGCGCAGGTCCGGGACGCCGCCGACCATATCATCCACAGCTTCGAGGGTTCGGCCCCTCGGCTCGCGTTCGCCCTCAACTCCGACGAGGAGGACGATGACGGCGGAGTGGGCGACAGTGGCGACGAGGCTGGCGACCCGGGTGCATCGGAGTGAGCCCCCAGGCCCCCGCCAATCTTTAAATAGTTTCTTATTTTCTTCTTCCGAGGCCTTCGGGCCCCCTTCTTGTATAGACTAATTTAATCTGCAATCAAATAAAGAGGAAATTTTTTGTGTCAATTCTATTTGTTGTGTGTATGAGACGAGGATGTCTGTGCCGCGGTCCTTTTGTGTCTTGGCTTGAACAAGGGCTCGTGCCCAGGTCCTAGTCCTCAAATGGCTTGGGTCGGGGCTAGTGCCTGGGGAGATCCACATGTCGAGACTGGCCAGGCCGGGAGCGTGGTGACCGAGGGTTATGGGTGACCCGATTGTGGGTTTTTGCCGATTCCCCCCCGGAGTTCACCACGCCCCGGGGCACGGCTCGGTTCTGGGCCCCGTTTGGCGATTTTAGCCGACCCGAGCCCCCGAGGGCAGGATTGAACACGAGTGACCTACTTCAAGTCAAGATCCTTCAAAAGGAAACAACAGCACAGATACAGCCTTTAGGAAATCGAAAATGCTTTTATTGAAATACAGATATAAGAGAAATAAGAATATGCATATGTGGTAGCCCCCGGCCAACCCTGCACGCCCGAGGGGGGTGCGGGGTTGGCCCGAGCCCGAAACCTGACACCCGATCCCCTTTTAGGGGTAGAAGCGACGAAGGTGTTCGATGTTCCACGGGTTAGGCAACTCTGTGCCGTTGCCCGTGGCCAGCCGAACGGAGCCCGGCCGGGGGACGCCGATCACTCGATACGGACCCTCCCACATTGGTGAGAGCTTGCTCAATCTAGCACGCGTTTGGACGCGGCGTAGGACGAGGTCGTCGACGCAGAGTGATCGGGCCCGGACGTGGCGCTGATGGTAGCGCCGCAGGCTCTGCTGGTAGCGCGCGGCTCGGAGGGCCGCGCGCCGCCTTTGCTCTTCCAAGTAGTCGAGGTCATCTCTGCGAAACTGATCTTGATCAGCCTCGCAGTACATGGTGGCCCGAGGGGACCTCAGGGTGAGCTCGGATGGGAGAACCGCTTCCGCGCCGTAGACGAGGAAGAAAGGCGTTTCCCCAGTTGCTCGGCTTGGCGTGGTTCGGTTCGCCCAGAGCACCGCTGGCAACTCCTCGATCCACGAATCGCCGTGCTTCTTGAGGATGTCGAAGGTCTTGGTTTTAAGGCCTCTGAGGATTTCCGCATTGGCGCGCTCCACTTGGCCGTTGCTTCTGGGGTGGGCAGGTGAGGCGAAGCAGAGCTTGATGCCCATGTCTTCGCAGTAGTCGCCGAAAAGTTCACTAGTGAATTGTGTGCCGTTATCCGTAATAATACGTTAGGCACTCCAAACCGGGCTGTGATGCCCTTAATGAATTTAAGTGCGGAGTGCTTATCGATCTTGACGACCGGATAAGCCTCGGGCCACTTAGTGAACTTGTCGATCGCGACATACAGATACTCAAACCCGCCCGGGGCCCGCCTAAACGGTCCCAGGATATCGAGCCCCCAGACAGCAAATGGCCATGAAAGTGGTATGATCTGCAGGGCCTGGGCCGGCTGATGGATTTGCTTGGCGTGGAATTGACACGCTCTGCATCGCCGGACCAGGTC